TAAAACGGGGAGTGTGGGAAAAAGGGCAGATAGGGAGGGCATCATCTCAGGGCAGATAGGGAGGGCATCATCTCAGGGCAGATAGGGAGGGCATCATCTCAGGGCAGATCCAGGGCATGAAGTGCCGAGTGCACCGGAGGGCAGGGAAGTCAGCCGTGTTGACGGCAGACTGGCTGTTCCACAAGCCAGTGTGATGGGAAGTGACACCAGTGGTCAGCAGAACACTGCATAGATTTCGAGGACTGTGGTTCTGCTTGCAAAGAGAGCTGAGGGTAGAAAATGGGAATGTATTGGAAGAGAAGACAAAGATGACAAAGAACTTCAGTTTAATGCACTGTATATAAATATATTAAAATACAGTGATTTCACCGTTAACTGTGTATTACTTGCTGTTTTTTTTGCTACATATCATTTACATGTTCATATATATTTCCAGCTGTTTGCTGTAAATAACACAAAAAATTTTATACAAACCTTTTACTTAAATTATAGCTTGTTTTCTGACTATTACTGCTAAATGTCCCCCTCTTTTTATTTTTCTGGATCATATCTTAGAATATTTGTTTACATTTAGTTTAAATGAAACGTGCTACAATTCAATTCCGTAATTTGCATTTTTTTCTGACCACCAATTGTTAGCATGAAGAGCTGCCCATAGACTAATACTTGAGTATTACTATTACTCACTATTTATTTGAAATATGGAATGTAGTGTTTAGTGTTAGATTACAGTGTTACAATTAGATTACATGCCTATTACTGCTTAAACAGAAATGTTCTGAGGCTGATTTTTAGGTGAAATTGTCTGAAGCTAGAATATTAAAAATAGAAAAAAATAGGTTAATTGTAACTGTAAACTGTTTACAATATGTTTAAACAAAGAGGTGGATTAATTACTTGATTTGTTTGTTCATTAAAAAAACAACTGCAATATAACTGAAAGTCTATTTTGTAACTGGAAAATATTGTTGTGTGTGAAATTAAGATTCATAAGGATACCATATTTAAATCATTATTTACTGCATCGTTAAATGTGCCTGAGGATAAGGGTTATCCTGCCAGCTGACTGAGAAACTACATTTAAAAAAAATATATTATTTCATGAATCTATGTGTTCTTAATTATTTTTTATTTAAGAAATACTGACACACTTGCAATTGCAATCGCTGAAATCTGGTAATTTAAGGTCATCATAGGGGGAGATTAGCTGCCGGAATAAAAATAAAGGCTGGGAGGGCCGTGGCAGAGCATGTGAGAGAGAGGCTGGAAGATTATACTGAGATAGATGCACAGAAACAGGTCAGCCAATCACAATTCAGGGAGGAAAATAGAGCCGGTGAGCGGAGCTGGTGAGAGAGGGAGACTGGCTGTGACTGAGAAGGAAAGGGAGAAACGCGGGACCACGTAGGACGGAAAGGAGACCAGTACAGGTCAACGGCCCCGCATGGATACAAACATGAGAGGTGCTGCAGGAAGTGAATCTCAACCCATTCATACTGAATCCAGCACAACGTCAGTCCTGCACTCTGTCAACCTTCTGATGTTATTTTGATCTTCATCACTAAAGTTCTGCGAGCCGAAAGGAGGAGAATTGTCTCGTGGACTGGAGCAGCCTGCCAAGCTGACAGAGGAACAGGCAGCAGTGATGAGAACGGCCAGGAAAGCAAATGTTGAAGTGCCCGCCTTTGTCCGGCAGCTGGTGAAGGGGACGGAGAAGATGGTCTCTTCTCTCTTCAAAGGGGGCAGGGAGGGGGCAGATGAGGGGGAGGTGGCGGAGGAGGGGGCCATACCCAGTCCTTACCTGGACCAGCCAATACTGGAGAAACACAACGAGCAAGGATGGGCCAAATGGGGCATCAAGTTTGCTCTGTCCAGTGTGCAGGGCTGGCGCGCCCAGATGGAGGATGCCCACACCTGCGTGCCTGAAATGGAGGGTGACCTTGATTCCTGGGGCTTCTTTGCAGTGTATGATGGGCACGCTGGCAGCACTGTGGCACAGTATTGCTCTAGGAACCTGCTGGACCACATTCGGGCTACAGGTGATATTGCTGTCTGTTGTTCTTGCATGAGATTAAAGAGGCCAGCGTTAAACAATCAGTAAATCATTTGATGAAAAGAACATCCCATAAAACTGACTGTGAATGAATTAATTAATCTGCAGTAGCTGACTTGTTTCAGGAATCGTCTAATATGAATATGGTGAGAGAAAAAAATGGGGAAAAAACGTTTATTTAGTCTTGTTTTTTGTTTACTGGGAAAAAATATATATTAGACAGAAATTTATGGCTAAGATGAAGGCGACAGCTGAAAAGCTAAAGCAACCACATACCACTGCTGTTAGCCTCTGAACACGTACTGCTGAAAACTCAGCAATATATCTTGTCATTCAACAAGCAAAAACAACAATATCAGCAAGATACAATGACTATGACTGTACTTGTATCTTTGGTCGGCAATCATTCATAAAATGAATAATCATTCATAAAAAATGCATGCAATATGCGGAGACTATCAATGTGATTGTAATAAGTGATGCATAGTATTGTGTGTTGCTTTCATCCAGGAGCCATTAAGCCAGTGGAAGACAAGGACCACGTGAGACGCGGAATCCGAGATGCCTTCCTGAGCATTGACCAGCACCTGCACACTATGGCTAGGAGGCAGGGCTGGGAACGTGGAGGTTCTACTGTTGTGGCTGCCATGCTCTCTCCGTACCACATTTACCTGGCTAACTGCGGAGACTCGCGCGCCGTGCTCTGCCGTGACGGCCAGCTCTGCCTGTACACTGAGGATCACAAGCCCTTCAACCCACGCGAGATGGAACGCATCCAGAACGCTGGGGGAACCGTCAGCCTGCAGCGCATCAACGGCTCGCTGGCGGTCTCCCGCGCGCTGGGCGACTTCAACTACAAGGAAACAGAATGGCGGACGCCAACAGAACAGATGGTATCACCCGAGCCGGATATATATGAGGTGGAGCGCTCAGCGGCTGACGAGTTCCTGCTGCTGGCTTGTGACGGGGTGTGGGACATAATCAGCAGTGAGGAGCTCTGCTCCTTTGTGCGAAACCGCCTGGAGGTCTGCGCAGATTTAAGCGAGGTCTGCACACAGGTTGTTGACCTCTGCCTCTATAAGGTAAGTACGTTGCAAATGCAAATAAAATGAGATCTACAACACAGCGTTTATATAAGAGAATTATTATTGTAGAAGAGTTTACAGTGATTAATAATAAAAATGTAAATTAAACAAATGTCCATCTTCCAAACACTTCTCAAATACAGATTTACAGACTTGAGCTTATCTCAGGTGCCACAGGACACCAGGCAGTGGTTCACCCTTAACGGGATGCCAGTCTATCAGAGGGCTCACACATGCTCACATCCAGCGTCAAACTGAGCAACGCAGGGACACCCGTTCACCTAATTGCATGTCTTTGGAAAGTGGGGGCACGTCTTCACAATGCAGAGAGAAGGTGCAAACTACTCACACACAGCCTTAGCAGGTGGGGGGTTCAAACCCCCAATCATGAAGGTGGCCGGTGGCACTACTCTGTCACCCGTGAAGCGAACTGTGCTGCAAAGATTTTATACAATGCAGATTACGCAGGACAACGGCCATCAGATATCCACCTCAAATTAGATGCTAAGTGTACCCAACGTGGTCACAATGGCACATTCAATGCACACTCTTTGAAATGTTCATTACTATTGGTTTTAAGTCTATATACACAAGCTTTTGCAATTAAAATGAATAGTTGGAAAGTTCAATTGAATTATTGATCTAATTATTGACAATATAAATAATAGATAATACACCATTTCTAGTTAGTCTCTGAAGTAGCCTAGGATAGTCTTGCACGACTGTTGTAGTGCCTACCTGGAATAAGCTATTTTCATCTTAAAGCAGCACTGTATTTACCACCTTTCTTTGAGTTATGTAACATCCAAGCATAATTTAATATGTCATTTAAGGGGCTTTCACAGAATTTAGCTGCAGGCTTACAGCTAGTATTTTAAGCGATGCTTAATACAGTCGCTACCGCATGTAAATGAATGCACTGTAGCGTTCACTGCTAAATAAATCAGACGTTTTCTTTAAACGGTTTACTAATCGTTGCTGTTGGCCACAGCCACGCCTTACAAATATGTGCCCTGCTAATTCCAACGGGACCGCACACCGAGAGAGCGAAAGCCTGCAAAACACCCCCTTAAATAGCTTCTCTCGGTGGACCTGGAATAGCCTTTCATTTCCTGCGGCCTACGCTGCAAGCGCGGCGTAAACAGCCATGGCATCCATGGGAAAACTTACAGCTATCATATGTAAGTGAACGTAACAGGTAATTGTCGTTGGCATCATTCTGTTTCAGTCTAGTTTTACTGTAGTATTGGGTTGCCTGAGAAATGGCTAGTAAACATTATATAGATTTAAGCTGAATTGCTTCATCTGGGGAATCAAAATGAGCATATTGTGATGCATTACATAATGGGTGGTTAGATAACACACACTTCTAGCTGGTAGTTTGAGTTGACCAGGTGTTCAGCTGTCAGGACATCTGCTCGTTTATATTCGCAGCAGGGCTGGACTGGCCATCTGGCATACTGGGCATTCTCCCGGTGGGCTGACGGGCATGTGGGCAAGCAAAATTAATCGCAGGGCACCTCTGTTGGCAAAATTCGTCCTGGGCTGAGTTTTAATTCCAGTCCAGTGCTGATTCACAGCATACTGCGTACAAATTATGTACGGTGTCCTTGTGTGCTCTGAAAGTATTACTATTATTATTATTAATATGAAAGTATTAAAATGTATTATTATTATTACTATTTGATCAATAAAACAGAGCAGAAATTACATGATTTTCACATGCTTTTCTTAGATTTTTTTTTTCATTTTAATTGATTATTCTCCTACTTGGCCAGCCAGAGGTGTGGGTCATGGGGTCCAGCCACAGCTGTTCTGTTCTGTGTGGAGTTAACATATTCTCCTTGTGTTCACATGGATTCACTCAGTCCAGAGACAGAATATAGGTGATTCCGTGTTGTTAAAGTACAGGCTCCAGGCTAATCATGATCCTACAACTGATGAGTTTGCATTAAAAATGGGTGTTTAATTTATTATCCCTTTAACAGATTTTTCAGTTTAGCCAAAACTTGCCAAAGCACGTACATACTTGCCTGGATTATAATCACATTGTTGGCACAATGAGGATGAAAATTTAATTAAATAATTAGGTAGAACTTTACCACAGTTGCAGGCTTTTATCTGTTTTCTGCATTTGTGGTAGATCCTTTGCAATAAGTCATCAGATGGATTATACTGATGAATCCTCCCCCCACCCCCCACCCCCGTGCCCAACAGGGGAGCCTTGATAACATCACAGTCATCCTCATCTGCTTCCCTGGCGCTCCCCAAGTTTCACGTGAAGCACTACAGAGGGAAGCGGAGCTGGAGAATCTGATTGAGACCAAAGTGGCAGGTATGGGACAGGTAGTAAACTCACAATCCAAACTAGTTATTGATCACTGCACATATTAAGCTGGTAGTTTAACTAGTAACTGTCAATAAAGTTAAACAAGTTATACAGTTCAATGCAGCTGCTATTTCTTCTTCTGTCACACATATCTGAACATTTATTTTTGTGGCCTTGATTTATAAAAGTGCACATGCTATCCTTTATTTCTGAGGCCTTTAAAATGAATCTGTGGTTCTATTTACAGTTTTATTCATGTTGTTGTCTAATAAATAGTTTCATTTTTTCTATCCCACTGTCTTCCAATCAGACATCTTTGAAGACCAGAGAGCAAGTGACATGGAGCCTGACTTGCTGTACGTGTTGAATTGTCTGTCATCAGCAGCCATTCCTGGTCTACCACCAGGGGGCGACATCACCAGCAAGTGAGTGTCTGGGGAGTGAGGGTTAGCATAACACTAAACATTAAACGCCACTTCAACTGACCACTCAATCGTAAATAACACTATCCTGGGTACATAAGTTATGTAGTGATTATTTCCCATTGGAGCAATGATATTTAAAATGACCTTCTCATCACAATGATGGTATTTCATTACTCTCTTCCTACATTCTGTCTAATATGGCTAACACAGTTCAATAATGACAGACTATTTTTTGCAAAATATCCTCCAGCACACTCTCATTCCATACACAGTCGGTAAATTTTATAGTGCGCATGTGACCACATTTCAAACTCACAGGAATCCCCTTTTTAAATATAACACATTCATGGTGTACTACAGGTATGCAAGACAAGGTAAGACTTGTTTTGAGCAGGTCAGCAAGCAGAACAACATGACACAAGGATTGTAGGGGACTTCTTTGGGTACAGGATTGCAGTTTTAAAAATGGTGATTGAGAAAGAACAAACAAAAGACATTTAACACAATGGAAAACTCACTTTCAGTTTAAACATACAGAAAAGTTTACATTGCATTAAAAGACAATCAGCTTCATAGTATTGACTCATTAGCTTTAATAGAATGTCAATAACTTTTTAAAAGGTTTTCATTTTACGTTTTATGTCTAAAGCATATTATTTTGCAATACTTCAGATGTTATTAAAAGTAGGACTTCATGAACACTATACATTTTCTTTGCAAATCACCTAAGGAAACAGGCAATATTTGAAGTAAAAATTACTTTGCATATGTTTATTATTTCACATACAAAAAGATTTTTGCAATATATATGCACCATCTGCATTAAAAACACTGCCATAAATAAAACTCCAGCATGAGGATAGTTCATAGTCCAAAATGTTATTTGGAACCATCTTGTTGTGAAGATAATTTCTGGAAAAGTAAAACAAAATGTTCCAAATGTTGTATGTATAATATTTTATTTCAGAAGAAACTGCATTATATCTGCCTACTACAAGCAAAAAGAAGCAAGCAGATCTGATGCAGTAAGTGGCCTAAACTTTAATTTTAATTTAGAAACATGAATGTGAATGTAAATTTTGGAAAATGCTACTACAAATAATAATTATAAACCTTTATAATGTAAAAAATGTAGATGTAATGCAAAAATACTCATAGGCTGCCCTATGTATGAGTATACATGTTTCAAATATGCCACACATTAGCATGCTTTTAATTCATTATTAAGTGTGTAGCTGTGCATGTCATCAGACTCTTTTTTTTTAGTCCCATCTTTCTAATTCAGTGCAAAAATTAGGCTGGCTATGTCACAGGATGTGACGCATGATACAGGCTGTGCGGTGCTGCAATATGAATCACACATTCAGAATTCAACTTGAATTCTAAATGATAGTCAGTGCATTAATCAAACTAATTTTCCTGTCCATTTTCAGGATATTGATGCCTCTGGAATTCTACATTGATGCCACCTTTGAGAAACTACCTGCCAACTGAACAAACAAATAATCTATAAGAAAAAGATAATGACATGGTTGTGAGTCAACCTGACAACCACAATAATACAATTACAGTGTGTATCATAAATAACTCTCATCAAAAGTATAATTAATTGAGCAACTTTTCTATATCCAGTAGTTACAAGACTCAGTCTTCTGGAATAAATTGATGTCAGAATATATTTGTAAGAAAATTAAGCAACAGAACATTAGGATTTACGTATCATATGAAGCAATAATACAGTGAACCTAAATCTATTGTGCTTTCACTATAAATTAATGCACCTATGACACACATAATGAAATGTACTTATAAAACAGGTAAAACAATAACTTTCAGGGAAGAATAAATAAGTGTACACAGAGGGACCCTAGTGTGCATCAAACACAAAGTTTGCCAACTGGGATATCAGATTAGTTCTACATTACTAGTAAAAACAAGAGACAGAGCCTCATTTGCCTGGCATCCAGTCATTGTCAGCAATTTGATTTGTACAGGTACTTGCCTTATTAACCTCTTTTGTGGAATATGGTGTAAGTATTCAATCAATATATATTGTTGCAAACGAAATATATGCACCATATGTATAAGAATAAGATACCAAATGCCATAATTTCACAAAGGCAAAATAAATCGTAGGATAAAGGCAGCTTCATGTTAGAATGCAGACTGACACATACATAAATATTTTTAAAGGAATACTTCTTACATGCCAGTCTCCCATCCTTTCTTTGTGTACATGTTTGTGTTCACCTTTAAAATTTGTTGTTTTCTATATTATGTATGAATTAAGCATGTAGCACATTGTGACTGTTTGGTAATGAACTATAGTTGGTTCTAAGAAAATAAACTTGTTCATTTTATTTATATAGAAATTATAGTCTTTTTTATCACAAGGTATTTTGAAATCTAGAGCTGAACCAGTATTTTAAGTACCTTCAATTTTATTTGTCATCTTTCAACTTAAAATTAGAACCTGAGAAAACAAATTAAAATTTGCACTTAGTTCGTAGATAGAGGCGTTGATCTATGTCTGTTTTTGTACTTTCTGTGTTGTCCTTGCACTCATGCACTTTGTTTTCGTGCTGCCATGAAGGGGCAGATTTTCCCACTTCTGATCCACCAATTTCCCATGGCCACAACTGTGCACAACAACCTGCACCACAACTCAGAAGCCCTTACAGCTATTATCAAAAGTCAGAGCTCAGCATTGTTGCTCCTTTGAGTTCCCAGCCTTAGATTCCTAGATTGACTTTGGTTTCCTGATTTTGTTCCTGTACTAGACCTCATTTCCCAATTTTGCCCATTTGTTCTGGTGAATGTTTTCTGGTTCCTTACCCTCAGTTTTTCTACACCCTAATTCATCTATTCTCTATCTCGTCTGCAATCTCCATCTTTACTGTTTACTCTTTGACAATCTTCATGTATAATGTGGACAATATTTATGTTTTCATCCTATTGTGTAATCGCTCACATCCTATCCCGGTTCTACCAAGGTTTCATTTATTAAGATATGTTAAACAGAACAATTAAATGAAATATAAATAAAATATATATGGTATGTTTTCAATAAACATTTTTTTCTGTGGAGTTCTTTTGTTTCATAATCGGTATGTTTTATCCAAAACAACGAAAATGTCAATGAGTAGCTAAGTGTCACTAGCAAAAGAGGCTTGTAAGACCTAAACGTGCTGTTGTAATGCAGGGTTGCCAGCTTGTGTAAGCAGGCTGGAGTGATTTCGTGCAGCTAATCGTGCAGCTAATTTTAGGTTTATAACAGCAAATAGATTTGCTGTAAGATTGCTTGCGTGAGTCTGAAAGCGTGAGTGTCACGCCAGATGCGTGGGAGTTGGCAACCCTGGTAACGTAATGTAACAATAATACTTAACATAACCATATACATTTGGGCCGGGAAAATATTAATACTGTTAAACTGCATTTCTTGAATTAGATGTTCAGATAGATAGTACTGTGTCGAAATACTGCTAATAGCTGTTTGAATAGTTTGAATAGCACCATCTTGCCGGTAAATGTGGCATTTCCTGGGAATCGAGGTCATGTTAAATTCCGGTAAATTCCGCTTAACCCAAGGAAACCGTCTTGGTTTGCGTAACTTCCGTTTCTGTCTGGCTTGTGGATGGTTTGCAACATTTATTTCGACTTGTTTAACTGGCGAATAATTAATTTCACACGATTTTCCCTGGACTGTGTGAGGAAACGGCTTTTGAAACGCTCCGAATTTATTTTTCTTTTAAATTAATTTATTTAATATTTATTCACGGACAGAACACAATATCGATAAAAAATAATGTTTTTTCTATCTGTCTAGAAAGCGCCCTAGCTAAAGGACTTACAGCACACGAAGTAATATTTACATGGACTTGTATCTGTGTCATAAAAGTCGTCATAACCCCAAACTAGGTCATTACACGCCGCAGACGACAGAATGTTTAACCTGGAAATAAGCTTGCCGGGATGTCTTTGAATTCTCCTCCAAACCTATTATTTTAACAATCGATGAGATCAGGTTTAAAACCCGTTGGCCAAACTTATTTTATTTTCACTGACGTTTTAGTGTATTTGGCGTAAATCTAAAAAACGGTTTACTAACGTTATAACGTTAGTATTTATATGACAGAATGTATATACAAGCTTGTTTGGGTGTCAAAACTGATTGATTATATGTCAACTGGAACTTTGTGTGGTGGACAAAAGGTTTTAACTCGGACGATCGAGAAGTCATTCAAATGGGAGTCGAATCAAGAATAATCGATGGCGCACGTGGTGCATAGAGATTAATGCGAAAGTCTTAAATGAATAAGCAAAGAATAGTAAGGCAAAGGGTGAATGGCATTATACAAAACACACTGCACTCAGGAAAACAAATAGAAAATTGGATAGTGTTTTTCTAATTTTGATTCAAGAAATCTGGAATGCAAACTGCTGCATAAACTGTGCCCTGGTTTCCTGTGCATGACTATTTTCACCACACTTTTATAAGACACTGTCTTTTTTTACACCCAAATGTTTGGTGTTCAGCCAGTGTGTGGCTCAGCAAGGCAGGACACTGTGTCCGTGATTGAAAGGTCACCACTTCAACCCCTGTGGTCGGCAGAGTGGTTTTACCTTTGCCAGCTTAACCCCAATTGCTCTAAGGACTGGCAGTCCATGCTTCATTCATCCACATTCTGCACTGCTTACAGAGAACAGAGTCACGGTGACCCTCGAACGGTCCGACTTGGCACGCATAAAAACACAAGTCTTTTAACAGGTTTTAAACTGTGGGTGGAAACCCAGACAGACACTGTGAGGATATAGAGTTATGTACTGCACCACTGTGTGCCCTGCATGGTAATCAGGAAAAATATCTGTATATTTTAAGTAACATTAAGTATGCCTGTGATCAAAAGATGGTTTGATCCATCCTCGGCATAATAGTCACAGGTTCATGGGTCCCTGAACAAGGCCGGTAGCCCCCGGCTCCAGGGATGATGCCAGCTGACCTTGTAACAGTGGGTATTATGAATATTAGCAAGTGGGTCATGTTTATTTGTACACATTGCAAGAGTTTAACGGCCTCAGTGTAAAAATGCATTAAGTGCAGACAGGGTAATTCATGTACTTTTTGCATTGACATTTTTTCCAAAGCAAAGTAAGGTCACAGAGCAGTATCACCCAGTGGTCCTGTACCAGCTGGGTTTTAGGGAATTTCTCAAGGGCCCAACAGTGAGATCACTCTACCAGGCACAGGATTTGAAACAGTGACCTACCACTCAGGGGCATAACTCAGGGAGCCTCATACTAAATTCATTATATTTAATTATATATACAAGACATCATCCCAGTATCACAAACAATCATTAGAGAGAAATCCATGATTCATAAGATCCCAGGGTCTCTGTGTTTTCCCTCAGCAATTCAGATACATTTTCCTGGTAATTAAGCAACATATTGTTAGGAACAACTGAGTTGTTAGGTACTATGGTTATCAACAGGCGTGGAAAGTTCAGGTTTAGAATATTATTACAAACAAATTCTTGGCCTGGATCTATACTATCTGAACCTGAATTTCCACCTCTAGTTATTTTTTTAAACAGTGCAGCGAGTAATCACTGGCCACGTACTGCATGTGCCTGGAAGACGATTGTACATCCTGGTGAATCAGATGTGCGCGGAGGAGTCAAAGGACAACACGTGTCCAGAAGAGTCCACGATCATTGGTTCAGAAAAATGGAGTCATGTGACGTACTGAGCCTGGGGCCCGCCATGTTCTCCAACTGGGTAAAAGGTTATTTTCGGTCATTCACTGCTTTGTAGAGCTGTAACTGCATCTGTTGTTAGAGGTAAGAGTTCGTTTTAACTAGTTAATAGGAACTTGTAAATAATGCAATTTTATGTTATTTGACGCATGGATAATTAATTGTTAATGATGCTATCAGTTTACGTTTCTAAAATAAATTAATCATGTACCTCATCCTGCTGTGTCTCTTTACAATCCCAGTCACTTGAACATACGTTTGTCGTTAGTCTGGTTGATTATCTATTCAAAAACTCGGTTTATCGAGCTACTTCATCTAACACCAGCAAGTAATTAAACAAACAGCTACACTGTTTAACATGGGGAGGACGGATTCTGTGTTTTGTTGCGTGGTGTACTTTCTTTAACGACCTCACCCTTCTTGTGTCCGACACTCAGCGTTAATTACTATTCTTATTATTTACCGCGAAGTGGCAGAAGTGAAACGTACGAAACGTTAAAGGTGAGGTTTTCAGTATATGTCTACCACGGAGCCTGTGGGAACCTCGGATTGAGTAAATGCACGTGGAAATTTCGAATGGCACCGTGTCATGCAAAAAAGGAAATTGACTGTATTTTCAACCCTTTGAATAGTAAATTATTAATATTTCATATTAGTTATATACTTTTTGCTTTAGGTAGGTATTATACATATGCGTTTTCTGGCCTTGTTTGCCAGAAGTTTTCATTGGGGAGTATTAATAAACTAGACGTCACAATAGGTTTAGGTTTAGACTTGTTCTGCCTATTTAGGCGAACAGAATTGTGTCGATTTAGAACCTGGCACTGCCAGTTGATTTATAACCTGGTGATGTTTTCTGATATATTTCAGATAGGAAGAATATCATTTTATTTGAAGTATCGTGCAATATAACATACAGTGCAAGTGACTTAGTAATATAAATTCAGTGGGCAATGCAGTTCATTATACGCAGTGTTCAACAATGAGATGTTTTGCCTGAAAATAAATTTCATACTAGCGAAAGATCAGTTTAATTTATTAATGATATTAACATTAAACAAACAACAAGGGGCTGTACCTACAACAAAATTATTGCATATGGAAGCAGCTGGTAAACCGTGGGAGAAGTCAAACTTTCCATGCCGGTTATAAGGGTATTTAAGTTATATTCTGAATTTTGAGTGCACAGTGTGCTCCTATGGATGGACCGCATGAAGTAATGATGTAGTGAGATGCAAATCTACTGCAACAGCCTAATCGACACCTAACAACACCTGCAGTGTGGGCTTTCACTTGTTTGAAAAATATTAAGAAAATTGACGTTTTTATGGATGAGTCATATGTATGGTAAAAATATGGACACTTTTTGACATATAGTCACATTTCACATATTGAATTTATAAATTAAAATTTTGTGTAATGTAGGTGTATAATATTACAGGACATAAGGAATTGTACACACCAGAGGTTCACATTTAAGAATTTTCATGGGAGCTGAACATTCCCATGTGACTTTCACAGGCACTTTTCAAAGACAGACTTTAGGGGGCAGTCTGTAGCTCTTTGGCTTATGGGTCTGTGCCTGTGTATGAACCTTTGGGTATTCAGATCCCATGGTTATGCCACCATTGGGCCCTTGAGCAGGGCTGTTTATCCCTGCTCCGGTGACACACAGAAAAATACAAGGGAAAGTACCTGCTCAGCTACTACAGAACTGTCTGCAAGGCTTGAGCAATTAATCTTTAGGAGTCAAGGTGCGCAACTAGTGAAATCTGGAGTGTACTCTGAGTTGGACCAGTAATAGTGTCTTTAGAACTGCATCACTCATATCCTCGTCATAAGGTATGTGTTGTAACTGGAATAAGTACGTTGGTGTTTTTAAATTTGTGATGATGTTGCTGTGATGAAGAAATCCTCATTACTCACAGAGGTTTTACAACTCTCAGCTGCAGTCTTTTCAAAAACCATCCCAGTTTTTTTTTTTGTTGAGATTTTTATATCCTGGTGTTTTGACCTTGGTATTTTTTTGGTATTCTAATTCAGGACATTTTCACTGTCATGTATAGACAGAGCAGCAAAGTTTTAAGTGTTTTTTTTTGTGGGTGGGTGGGTGACTTCCTTTAGAGCACATTTGATGTCGTCATTTTCTGCTCCTTATTCAAGCTTAGTCATGCACATTCCGGAGCATTGCCTCACATCCTTCAAAAGCCTCTCTTCGGTCAGGAGCTAGACAGAATTCAGTAGTCGGTGGCACTGATCGGCAAGGAAGAATAGCAGAAAACACCTGAAGTTTCTGAGGGGAAATAATTATAGCAAGAATATTTTATTGTCCACTTTTGTGTTTTAAAGGTAAGGTGTCTTCTCTTCCTATTTGATAATGTTTTGTAATATTGTGCTCCTCTTGGTACAAACAATAACCTTCAGTACTGGAAGGACAAGTGGTAAGTCATTTGAATTTACCACAATGTGTCAAAAAAGAGAAGCTCTATAAAACAGTGTTGTTCTTCACTTTTGATAACATTTCCTTTGTGGAGGAAATTGTTTTTCTATACGTTCACCTTCTTGTGGAAATCCATTAAAATGATAAAGTAACTTTACTATAAACAGAAAACTTCAGTGAAGGTTCGCCAGATTATGTACATTTTACATTAACTTTTAACTTTTAAGTTTACCTATCTTGTCTTGATTGCTTTAAGTATAGAGGGTCCCTGTGTTATACCTGCCCCCCCCCAAATTTATAACAAAATGCAAAATAACTTGTAGTTAGTTACAGTAGGTTGATTTACTTCTCAGTGCGTCGACCCAAAAAGGTTCTTTATTTTTGTTCCTGTCTGTGAGGTTACTGGCTTTCTGATTTACATACCAGATAATACTTACAGATGATAATTTCTGGGAAATTTTGATATGGGGGCATGTCCTGGTTTTTAACCATAAAACAGAAATGTAATTTAAATTTTCAGAACCATAGTGAATGCTGTTTTTTTTTGATTTTTTAAACAACCAACATTTTTTCCCACTCTTTTAATATAATTGTGGTTGTGGTCTAGTTGTGGACCTCAATTCACAGGAAAAATGTCCATCCATCGTAATAACCTGGCCATACAGTTTCGTGAATATTGGGATTACATTTCCCTTTAATGAGTTTAACGTATTCCATTCCTAAGTACGCATCTAGGTGGGACACAACCTAGCAAACAGTGGTCTTTGAAGAACCTAACCACTGTGTTACCAGCTGCCTATGGAATTCAAATGTAGGGACTGTAAAGCAGTGGGAACAATCAGGGTACTAATTGCCAAAATTCAGCTTTTCCTGCCTTGGTTCTCTTCTTAACTTTATTTGCAAGAAATACATATTTATGGATAACTTTGTCTAGAACAGTGGTTCCCAACTCAGGCCCCATATCATGCCTCTGCTGTTAAGTCACAGCCCTAAGTTATGTTTGTGTTGTTTTTTCTTCCTATTTTTATTCACTTCTTTCTTTAACCAAAAATGGTGGAAGGGGGACAGGGTTATTGTGCTGGCAGTAAAACAGACGACAGGACGACATTGCACTCCATTTGCCAACACAAAGGTCTGACATTACAAAAAAGAATTCTTTGTAATCATACAATCTGTGACCCAATGAAAATAGATAGTGTGTTTGTATGCAAAGCACTGAGACAACTGTATTCATCTTCAGGCAGGCCCTTAACCCTAATTACTGCATGATGTGGGCTGCCTCTGACCCTAAGCTTTCCTCTCTTGTGTACCAAAAAAGCATCAATTTCCTTCTTTGTGAACTATAAAAAGCATCAGAGAAGCATAAAATTCATTAAAGTAGTAATCGAGGACCAAATGAAAGATATGGGCAAAAGATTTTGACATTTAAATTTTCCTGTAGGTATTGACCTCATTTGAAAAAAGGCAATAATTTGTATGAGTTCCTCGATATTTTCAGAATAAATTTAATTCAATTTAAATTTTTAAGTGGTGCTCTATAGGACAAATGGTGGCTATCTGCTTCATGAGCTGTACTGACTCTGAAGTTTATTTGACTTTATTGAATATGAATGGAAATATGGTTCTGATTATATGATTTGTACTCATTTTACCTTTAGTGTTTGATAAAACTATTAGGATGACTTTTATTGTGATGTATCATCCTTTCTAGGATAGATTAATTTTCGATTTTTTTTCCCCTATTGTAGATTGGTGTGAATTCCTTATCGATTTAGAAACTGTTTTTATGGCTCAATACAAATCTTTCCTCACCGTGTCTTCTGGTGATGACATACTTTTTTGTTTTATGGGCTTGCTCAGGGTGATTATAGGAGTCTGCCACGTACATAAGTATTCCTAGTTACATTGGTGATGCTCTGGAAAATAAGCTGTGGAGATAAACAGGGTGTTTGTTTCAATGGTGTACAATCCTGTTGTGTTGCTATTAAATTTAAGCAGATGTGACATGCTTTTTTTAAACTTGTGTCAATTTAGAATCCAATTTAGAATGCAAACATTCTCTCATACCACTCTGCTATAGTCATTTCTTGTAAATTGCCGGACTAAAAAGAATCCGATATCCATAACTTAATCAAAGTGCCTGTCCAGGAGTATTGAAAATTGTTATGCAGATCAGATTTTCCTGTGGCAGACTCTTTGAGATTGAGTTCAGTTCATTTTCATTATCTTACATTTGAAAATACGTAAATGTTTACATATCTGTGGGTACTTCCTCTTCACCGTTATGCCATGTCATGCACGTTTAATGAGATAAGAGATGAAGAGATCATCTACCTAGCATGCACATTTGCCATTTCTCTTAGATCTTATTTGTAAGAAGCTTTTCTTGATATTCACTGTCTTACTAACATTCGTCTTACTCTCTATCTCTCTCCCTTTCTTTCCTTCCCTGCTTCTCAACATTGCAAGGACAGCACCTCTGTTCTTGGGGAGTAAAAATTCCGCATTTTTTCCTATGCTCAAAGTCAGAACCCCAAATAACAGTGCTTTTGTCTTTTTCTTCAGTCTTTTTGCCTCAGAGATCACTTCTTTCCATGAGAATCAATCTGCCTTTTCCTTTCCCAGTATTTCTCGTCTTTCTCTATACGAGCTACTTGCTTACGCACTACTGACTGAGCCGTTACAGTGACTTTTAAAATGGATGTGCGTTCTGTCATTTTTGTCCCTTGGCATCTGTTTATGAAGCTCTGCACCCTCCTTACTTTTGTACCATGGTATTTTTTTGCTGATGCCCATAGAAAAAAAGTCATGGCCAAGCGGCTAAAAGCGAAGTCCGTCACCGGCCAGCCAGAGGGGCCCTATCGCTCGCTGGACCACTTTGAGTCTCTGGCTCGGATGACCTTCGAAGAGACGGACACCTTGGATAAGCTCTTTGATCACGCAGTGCGTCGCTTTGGGAGTGCAGACTGCCTGGGCACCAGAGAAGTACTGAGTGAGGAGAATGAGAAGCAACCCAATGGCAGGGTTTTCAAAAAGGTATGTAGGCTGTGGTAAATGTACCTTTTTTTTGTTAACCATTCACCATTGCGTGTATTAAGCCATTTTAACAGCGTTCCATTACCAATGCAGTTTGGCAGTTTTATTTGAGCCCCATGTATAATCAGTCTGTGAAGTTCACAATGGCAATTTGCTTTTTGTACAATCAAAGAGATTTGAATTGTTCTCTTCTGTAGTTGATTCTTGGAGAGTACAGCTGGCTCTCCTACCAGGACGTGGATGTGGCCGTGGGCCATTTTGGCAGGGGACTGGAAGTTTTGGGCCAGCAGCCCAAGAACACTATCGCCATCTTCTGTGAGACCCGCACAGAGTGGATGATCAGCGCCCAGACCTGCTTTAGGCACAACTTTCCATGTAAGCCCCATTCTCCCTCCGCACTTCCTGCACATCTGTGTTATGCTTAATCCAGTGATTGTGCCCTCAGTCATGCTTCAGTGAAGCTTTAGGCCTGGAACACACTGGATGCGTGGCGTGTGCAGCGCAGAACAGCTGCAGCGGGTATCTGCACGGTTGCTACTGCACCGCTGCTATTGCAAGCCCTGTCTTTCTACGCTGATTTTACCTTTGATAATGGATATAAATATTCAATTCTTTATAAATTTAAATATTGTTATAAACATTATACAGCAATCCCTGTGTTTCTTGTGGTCTTTGTTTACCCTCATTCAGAGTGTGAGGGAATACCTGAAAACCACTGCGTTACCTAATGTTCCGTTAACCTATCGTATCAACATAATTATAGCCTACACTGGGTTTACTGCTCTCACTGTATGATACACGTGTAGCTTCCGCTTTCTCCTTTAATGCCACGCAGTTGGAAAAATGGTTAAAATAATATTTAAAAAATATTTGAACTTTTAACTGCCTGTTTTTGCTCAGAGCTGCTCGCCGCATGCGTGAAAAAGAGGTGCCGTTCTGATTCGAGGTGTGAGCTGTGTGTCTCGCACGGAAGTGTGGCCGCTCTTATCTCTTAACACGGGCACTGAAATGCAGTGCATGCACCATGCAGCCAGTGTGCCCCGGGCCTTATCCATTCAGTAATAGTAGCATTTTTTTTTAATGATCTCTCTTTCTTGCAGTGGTCACTTTATACGCAACTTTAGGAGAGGAGGCGGTGGCCTATGGGCTGAACGAATGTGGGGCCACTCATCTCATCACCAGCCTGGAGTTGTTGGAGACCAAACTGAAGGTACCTGCTTTGGCTTTCACCTAAAGCAGAGAACCTTAATGTCTCCTGCAGTTATACATGAATGTTTTCAAGCTCTTGAGATACTTTTGCCAGTATTTCATTTGGTTTCTTGCAGTGTATTTTAGATGATATTAGTGTTAAATGGTCATTGGTATGAATGACTTGTTGTGTTTAGGCATCAAGTGAGGTGTATCTGTTAAACATGTTTTCAGATAGTGGCTCTTTGCCCTTCTGGTTTTCATTAGTGCTATGAGTTTATGTACAACCTTATTCCATGAGTTTGCGTAGGGTTGTGTAGATACCGTGATAATAAACCATTTGCTTACCTACATGATTCATCCCTTTACAGAACGTGCTGTCAAAGGTACCTAATCTGAAGCATGTTATCTATGTGGACAAAAAGAAGATCAGCAATACTGGATATCCAGAGGATCTGCAGATTCACACCATGCAGGCAGTGCAGGAGCTGGGAGCCAAATCTGATAACCGTGAGTGCTGAGCCGCTGAAGACTGATCAGTTCACAATTCCGATCATCTAGAGACACAGCTCTATCAGACAGGCAAATGATCTGGATGATCTTTTATCTCACTGATATAGAGCAGTACCAGTAAGGTTGTTTTGCTGTCTGTTTATGGCATGGCTTACGATCACTTTGCTTCTGGAGCAACGATAACTTGATTGCAATCTCCTGCAGTGTCTGTACAAGCCCAGAGGCCACAGCCCTCCGATCTGGCAGTCATCATGTACACCAGTGGTTCCACCGGACGGCCTAAAGGTGTCACTATGATCCATAGCAACCTAATTGCTGGTATGACGGGACAGTGCGAAAGGATCCCAGGCCTCGGGTGAGTAGATGTAGAATAGCCAAAATCTAGCCAGGCTAGTTTAATCGCCAAGATTTTTCTAAATGCCGGTATAGTACTGCTTTTTAGGTATGCGGGTACCTGCTCACCATAACTACAACAGCAGTACTTCCTCTGCCCTTTTGTCATTGCCTGCTGATCTGGGCAAGATGACGCTGCCACCTACTAGACATAAATAATTAGTTACCTTACACATGCACAGTCGATCCACACTGATGTGAATGATTTCCGCTGGACGTGAAAATGTGGGCTAAACACACACTGATTGTAGCCCCTGATAAAGAAATTTCAGTTCCCCTCATACACAACTGAAAGAAGTGCACGTAGAAAAGTGAAGTATGAATTGCCCTTATCCTCTGAGGCTTTTCAGGCGTGTATTTGTAACTATAGACTTTTATTCATGATGTGTACCCTCATTGGGACAATATAAAATTGCTGCTATAATTGATACTCATGGAAACCTGCTAATTTAACATCAGGGCACATTTAAAAATATAACTATGCTGTATTTTCCTGTGTATCTACCTAGATGACGAAAACACGCACACTCACGCATCATTCTCTGTTGTTGCCTTGAAATTCAAACCATTATAGGTAAATAATTATTGTAACTGGATGGGCAGAAAATGGCAAGGAAAATTCTTCCCACATAGTTCATCCCAAAGTGTTTTAGTTTAATAAGGTTCTCTAGTTAGGAAGCATTTTGCATAAACAATCCTTTATTAGTTAAGATGGTACCTGTGTATATGTATTTGGTGCATGTATAAAGATAAAATATGTATGTCGTGTATACTTACAAACATTATATCAGAGGTATATGAAGTCCTTATAGAAAATAGGAAAATAATTTGAATTTTCATGTTAGTTTGTTGTTTAAGTTTATATTTGTTCTTCAATAGGCCAAAGGACACATACATCGGCTACCTCCCGCTTGCCCATGTACTGGAGATGACAGCAGAGATGTCGTGTGTCACCCACGGCTGTCGCGTCGGGTACTCCTCACCTCTGACGCTGTCTGATCAGGTAGACCTCCATCCTCAGCCTCACCTCAGGGCTCTGTCAGAAGACATCACATTTTTATAAAGTGAGCTAATCATGTTTTTTTCTCTCTCTCTCTCTCCCCCCCCCAGTCATCAAAAATCAAAAAAGGGACCAAGGGGGACTGCTCTGTGCTGAAGCCCACTTTGATAGCGGCAGTTCCGGTAGGAAGGGTCTCTCTGATGTCACAGGCTTGGTGAAGGACCGTAGGATATACTGATTTATACTATATGGACAAGAGTAGTGGGGCACCTGGCCATTACACCTACGGGAACTTTAATGACACCCCATTCTATGTAGTCGGTCCCCCCTTTGCAGCTATTACAGCTGCTGCTCTTCTGGGAAGGCCTTCCACAAGATGTTGGAGTGTGTCTGGGGGAATTTTGCCCATTCGTCCAGAAGAGCATTTGTGAGGTCAGGCACTGATGTTGGACATGAAGGCCAGGCTCGCAATCCCCGTCCTAGTTCATCCCAAAGGTGTTCAAGGTGTTGAGGTCAGGGCTCTGTACCGGCCTGTCAAGTTCTTGTACACCAAACACATCACTGGTACACAGTCAAGCTGGAGCAGAAAAGGACATTTCCCAAACTGTTCCATATATTTGGAAGCATAGAATTGCATAGCAAGACATTTTGGACAATTCTATGCTTCCAGCAGTTATAGCTGCAAAGGGGGGGCAACTCCATACTGATGCCTATGGATTTAGAATGTGATGTCATAAAAGTTCCTGTGGGTGTTACGGTCAAGTGTCCCAATACTTTTTGTCCATATAGTGTATTTTGGATCACTAGTGTTAATTCATTTTTCTGCCATTTTTTTTTCTAGAAAACAAGACTAAATGTTCCAAATGTTAAATTATATATTTTACCCTTGCTATCATTGCTTAGCTTAAAAAACCTCTGATCTGATTGCCTCTAGGGTTAAAGAAGGTAATTTCCTTCTGCTGTAGAAAGTCAAATTCTGCAAGCAAATAAGTGATAAACAAACCACCTCCTCATGTTTTCGCTTGTTTACAGGAAATCATGGACCGCATATACAAAAATGTAACGAGCAAAGTACAGGAGATGAACTACGTACAAAGAACGCTCTTCAAGCTAGGCTTCAGCTACAAGATGGAGCAGCTCAAACGGGGGTATGACGCCCCACTCTGCAACATGTAAGTCCCTACACTCTCCTGCAGGGGCGCTTATCTCTATGCATTCCTCTGATCTGCGTTATATAGTTTATATAGTTATTGAAAGTCGATCCACACTGATCATGCCAGTGCTGGGCGCACACACACCACTCACAACTACAGACGATTTGGCTACTGCAGTTTACCTTTGCATCTATTTGGAACCTGGAGGAAGTTCCTCGGCAACACGAGAAGAACATACAAACTCCACACTTATAGAGCTGGGGAGGGAATGGAACTCTCCAGAGGTGTGGGCACCCACCCCAGCCACGCCTTCTCATATTTATTGCATGTAATTAAAAAAAAATACTGGTTTGACCACATCAGGAATGTAATACAAATTTTAGTAATCATCTTCCTTTATACTGTTAAGAATGAGTATTCTCTGGGTCCCAAGGGTTGCTGATTAGTTCAAATAAGTGGAATGTTTTATTTATCCATCTGGAGGGCTTTGGGTTGTGGGATGTCACCTGAGAAAATCCAGTGCCGCCAAAAGAATTTCTTTCTGCAGTGTAGCATGGTGGTGGTCATTTTTAGTGTTTCTTACCCTTTATTTTGGGATGTATTACTGAAAAACAGCTGCTTCCTGTACGGATCAGTGTCAAGCATCAGTGTGTGTGTAAATGCTTATCAGTGCTAAAAGCAATTTTATTTTATTTATTTTTTTGCCATTGAGTGCTGGACGCCTATCTTCATAGTTGAAAATGTTTGTGCTTGAATATCAATTGAGAAATATATTTTTAAAGCGATTGAATGATTATGCATAGTTTAAAAAATAATGCAAAAGTATGACATTGCTTAAGACACTGGATCATCAGTACTGGTACTGATTTTATGATTTTTGTAATAACTATATTATGTCAATTTTCCTTAATATCATGATGGACTGATTACTCAGTATCCTGCTCTATGTTACAGGCTGCTGTTTAAGAAGGTCAGGGCTCTCCTGGGGGGGAATGTCCGCATGATGCTATCTGGAGGGGCCCCCCTGTCTTCAGCCACACAGCGCTTCATGAATGTCTGTTTCTGCTGCCCGATTGGCCAGGGCTACGGTCTAACTGAGACGTGCGGTGCTGGGACCATCACTGAAGGTGCGGGAACGGTCGCCGTGGCGATGTGCTGGCACTTCGTGCAGTCTGTCAGCATGCATGCTGTCTGACTTGTAGACATTGGTCTGTCTCTCTGCCATGCCACAGGTGCTCAGATGCAATATCTAAGGAGTAGGAATAAGTTACACTTTAGCCAGGATGGTGATGTGCTTTGTCCTCCTTTGTCCAGATTCAGTTATAGTCCTTTATAATGGTAATAATCAACTGATCTGATGTTGAAGAAACCAGAGTTAACCTAAGCTAATGTGGGAGGGGTTTAGGGTCAGCTATTTTTTGGAAATCTGTGGCCAGATGTACTTGCTTTTATGTAAGGACAAGAAATTTGTAATTCTCATAAAGCCCTTTTGCATGAATGTTGTTGTTTTTTTTATATTTTTTTTTATAAATTTATATTTACTGCTATTTGTTACTGCTAAAATATGGGCGATGTAACAGATTTTGTTTACTTCTGGAACTTTGAACTTCGGAACTTAGTTGTGTTTCTGATGCTTCTTGTAAAATGTTTATGGTTTTGAAAGGTTGCAGAATTAAAATTATAAACCCAATTTAATTTTAATTTTTATCTATAGTGGCAGATTATAGCACGGGCAGAGTTGGGGCCCCTCTCATCTGCTGTGAGATCAAGCTGCGCGATTGGGTCGAAGGTAAGTTAAAAAGCTGCTGTTACAAATGATGACTTACAGCAAACTTTAAATGGTGTTTCTCAGCCCGATCATCAGGGACCCCCAGTCCTCCCAGTTCTCCACCGTGAGAAAAAACTTAGGCTGTCTGGGGATCCCTGAGGACTGTGTTGAGAAGCACTGCTTTAAAACCCTGTACGCCATTTGTTAGTAAGTGGTTTGTGTTTCTTTCTCTGTAGATCATGTTTTCTGTGTGACTCTGCCCTGTAGGAAGGTTTACTACTGCTGTGCTGCTTCTCACATGGTCATTTCACTTGTATTATCTACAGCTACCATAGTCAGCTTGCTACTTTGTTTTTGTTTGTTGGTTTGTTTTTCACCAAGCTGTTCTGTTAATGGGGGGAAAAAAGGATTTTTCTGAAGGTTGCACTGTGCAATTGTCTGTGACAAAGGTCATTTGGAGACCTGTGTATGATTGATATCAAGCTTAGCAAGCTGAAGCTCGTGTCCGTGACCGTGGCTAATTAACCGTGACTGAAGGATACCAGCAAACCTTGTTCTGTCCTCACAGAAAGTTTGTTTAGAAAAACTTGGTAAGAGGTTTTTGAAAGAGTGATATTATCAGAAGAGATTAGGCTGCCTCAGATGTAAGATTTCTTGTAATTATAGAAGGGGATCTTAGATATGCGTATGACACTCACTATTAGAGCAGTATACTTTTTGACATTGATATTCACATTATGAAATCGACCGAGTAGATTTCCTGACTGAAGGGGAAAGTGCTTGATGGTCCCATTATTGTGTTGTCTAGGTGGTTACACAGCACAGGATAAACCCCATCCTAGAGGAGAGGTGGTCATCGGTGGTCCCAATGTTGCTATGGGCTACTACAAGAGTGAACATTTAAACGAAGACTTCTTTGTGGATGAGGATGGACAGCGCTGGTTCTGCACAGGAGACGTGGGTGAGATCCACTCAGACGGGTGCCTGCAGATTGTTGGTGAGTTCCTTTGTAAAGTTTACTCTATCGGCGCACTTAAGTGTTTTGTGGATGAGATCAGTGCCCCCTACTGCATATTTAGGCGAATGCATATTGTCTGATGCTGTCCTCTTCTAACATGATAAACAGGCAAAAGGCTAATCCAGGGTGTGTTTTATTTTGTAATATTCATTAGTTTGTTTTGATACCCATATATTCTTGCCATGAATATAGTCCCACTTGCTGACATGGTTTTTAGAGTCAACTAACTAACATTACGTGTAACTGTCATTTTTTTTTATTGTAGTGCATCTACTAGTATCAACTAGTATATCTGTGACATTTGTTTAGTGTTTTTACCCAGAAAACAGGGACATGCTAGCAATTTAATATGCATCTTCCGTAATCCAGAACAGGATTGTGGAACCTACTGTTTAGTAGTTTTGGTATCACTTTACAATAAAGCACCCTTTTGTCACTTGTAAATGGTACTAGCTCATTAATAAAAAGAAAACTGCTATAACTGTGTTTTAAAATGATCTATTAACTTACAAAGTGTTACAACCTAATTAATAACCAGATTGTAAACCATTCATAGACTGGTATCCTTATTGTAAAGTGGCACCGTAGTTTTAACTTAATGAACTGTAGCTTCTTCCCAACCTGACCAGTTTATAGACATTTAGGCTATGTACTGTACAACAGATTAACATATCTGTAACACATGGTTTAATAACAGGGTTATCATTAAACCATATATATCATTGGCTTTAACAGGTTTTGTATTAATGCTGCACTATGTTTGAATTTTTGTTTCACACCAATATTTTTTGGTCGTTTAGTTATTTTTCATTGTAGAGGTGAATTAAAGTTTTGCTATACAACTCTGTACTGCTAAAATGCATAGCTTTGGAACCGATTCTAAACGATGCTGCATCTTGTAAATTTAAATAGTTTTATGCTTTTCCATTAAAAAATCTTCTGTTTTGTCTTTGAATAATGAAATGACTGCTTACCGTTATACTTGTTTATTTTACTATGTTGTGTAAAATAGTTAGCCCTGAGGTTGAGGTTATCGAACAGTTAATTTCTCCTTTATTATTTATTTCGGGGTCACCTGACAGGGCTTTAAAGTATCCCATGGAAAGCTAAGTTTGATTTAATTTGCTGATCCACAGATCGTAAGAAGGACCTTGTTAAGCTGCAAGCTGGAGAGTATGTCTCTCTTGGCAAAGTGGAGTCTGCCCTGAAAAGCTGCTCGCTGATTGACAACATATGTGCCTATGCCAACAGGTATGTCCATCTCTGCTCCCACCACATCACTTTCAGGTTTATATGCAGGTTATTTTTTTTTTTTGTAAATGCTGCTTCTCCAATAAAAATTCATTCAACGTCTTGCCTTGTCCTGCAGTGACCAGAACTATGTTATAAGTTTTGTGGTGCCAAATCAGAAGCAGCTGACAGCATTGGCTGGTAAAAAGGAAATTGAAGGAACTTGGGAGGAAATCTGTAACCACTCAGTGATGGAGTCTGCAGTTCTTCAGGCCATCAAGGAGGTTGCTGTGTCGTGTAAGTCTAGCTTGGGGTGTTACACGGAAAACAGTAAATACTCATATCTCACCTTAAATTCTACCACAACAGCAGCCCTACACAGAGGTGGGATAGGGGATGATTCCATAAGGGATGATTCCAGGGGCCCCAAAAAATTTGAAACTTAATTGGATCGGTCTGGCTTGTGGGCCCAGTGCGATGTGCCAAAACCCATAGTTGTATCCCTGGCCCCAAGCAAATCATGGCCTAAATACTTCATATTTTCTCCATAGTTCAGCTGCAGCGGTTTGAGATTCCTGTCAAGGTGCGGCTCAGTCCAGAGCCCTGGACCCCGGAGACGGGCCTGGTCACAGATGCCTTCAAACTGAAAAGGAGGGAGCTGAAGAACCACTATCTCAATGATATTGAGAGAATGTATGGAGGGAAGTAGGATCTAAATCCTGACCAAAACATCCCATAATTCTGTCTGTGTGCCATGGCATATCAGGGCGTGTATTCCCAGGCACCTATAGATTTAGTAAACTTTTGTAATTTTCAGCTAGTGTCCATTTGCCTTTATACATTTTGTACAAAATGCTGTATATGTAAAAAATGACTAATGGAACAGAAACTTTTTGATGAAAGTGCGTGTAAAGTGATGTGTAAATTTACAGATCAGTGTTTCTCAGCTTGCTCCTTGGGGACCCCCAGGCGGTCCAGGATTCTGCTCTCTGCCAGTCAGTCTGCAACACACATGGGTCATCTGGGGGTCCCCAAGGACTGGGCTGGCAATGGCTGTCATAGGTTAAGGTTCAACTCTGAAGGGTCAATGCTTGCACAGTTCTCTGGGCAGCCAGTGCTGGCCAAGTTTACACCTGCTGTATAGATTTAAGGGTTTAAAAGTTCAGTGAATACATTATACAATACATATTAAAATAGAACATCATGTATCCAGCTATCGAAATTTAAAGGTTTATTGTCCATTGGTCCTTGCAACGTAGGAATTTTTCATTGCACTTGTTTTTCTGCTTAATATTATATTATTTTGTTTTGAATTATGGCATTTTTTGCTTACTTCTAAATAATTTTTTTTTTAATTTTTTTTTGCTAGCTTTATTTATTTCGTCTAATGTCAAAACATTTCTCTCCTAAGGACAATTGTCTGGCATTATTCTGAAGCCTTGTAAAGTCAATTTCGTTAAAGCTTGAATACTTTTTGAGTCAACTGGTTGAAATTAACTTATAAAAGTGTGTTATGATGGAGCACTGTGTGTGCTGACACATATGTGTATATATACAGTTGTGGTTTCTTTACTGGCTGGTACAGTGTGTACAGTTAAGAAACTCGAAGTCCTATTATTCCAGGAAAAACTTTACGCACATTTTGCTCGCAACCCTCTTTTTGATTTGTTAAAATTATCCTGTGTAATTCATTTTAATGAAAATGCTGGACCCATGCACTTAGCCAACGTCTACAATGCATTAGTACTGTATTGAGTAATTTGATAGGACTAAATTTCAGCACTCACTATGTTGGGTTCACCTACACCTTCTGTCCTTAAACTATTGACTTTTCTAATTAGAAAATCAACCAAACAATGTAAATTTGGCCCTCTGTGTTGTCAGGCCTTGGCGATTCACGGGGTCATGTTTAAAGGTGTATGTCAACCAAAGTGCCATGGCTTATTTTTGATTTGTTCTCAGGGTTACAATGATACATTTCTAAAAGCCTGCAGCCAATCAACTCTGTAAATGTTGCTATTTCAAAGGATTTTGATTTTGAGAATATCTAACTTATCAAATGCTTTGTATTATGTGCCAAGACATCGGGGCATTATGTATTTGTGTGTCTATGTGTGAGAGTAAGTGTGTTTTTAATGTCAATCGTTAGTTTTGTTCAAAGTTGCTGAACTTTTTGCAAATAAATGTTTTTCCAAAAAATTAAATGGAATCCGATGACTGCACTCACCTGAGCTGTATTAGACGGAGGTCCCACTTAGCCCCAAGCGGTTCTTTCTGGGGTGTCTTGATTAGTACCCACTCACCAGGTACCAGAGTGTGACCTCCGTCAATGGGATCTTCCCACACGTCGGAAACCTGTTGGAAGGCAGACTGAACGGCATTGGTGAGCTTAATGCAATAATCAACCAGGCTATCACTAGCAAGGTGAACGTCTGCCTTTTTCAGATCTATGCTGTCGGGAAGATGCGTCGGACACCCTGTGATGATCCCAAATGGGCTCAAACCAGTGCTTTTGTTGGTCGTCGCTCTGATGCTGCAGAGAACGACTGGCAGTGCCTGAGGCCAAGGCACTCCTTACTGATGATATTTGGACAGCCTGTTTTTGATGACTGTTCATCCTCTCCACTTGTCCCGAAGACTGTGGGTGATGAGGGCGGTGGAATGACCATTCAATGCCCATGAGTCGGCTGATCTCTTGACAGACTGCTCCAGTGAAATGTGTTCCTTGGTCTGAGTCGATTAGGCATGGTATGCCCCAGCGTGGAATGTAGTCTTTGACTAGTGTCTTTGCGGTGTGTGTGGCTTTGGCTTTTCAGCAGGGAACTGCTTCCACCCACCTTGAGAATTTGTTAACAATGACAACCACATCTGAATATCTGTGACTTCGGCAGAGTGATGTAGTCCACTTGGAGATGGGGAAAGGGGCCAGGCGGAGCAGGCGCCACTAGGTTTGATGTCAGCGTTCCCTCGACCATTGAGGACTATCGGTATACAACGCCAAGTTGGGATTATGCAACGCCGTTTCTTGAGTGTGGACGGCTTCTTTCATGACAGTTACTATTTCCACACAGTCGTGATCGATCTCTTCCATGACAGTTACTATTTCCACACAGTCGTGATCGATCTCTTCCATGACCGTTACTATTTCCACACAGTCGTGATCGATCTCTTCCATGACCGTTACTATTTCCACACAGTCGTGATCGATCTCTTCTTCTGGTAACAGGGTGGCAGGGTTGTTTGAACTAGCTGTTGGGTGTTTCCAAGACCGTTGACTACTTAGCCCATCGGGATGCTGTGACTTGTGATGCTCTGTTTAGTGTCAGGAGAGTGTGGACAGCATGTGGGCCATCTCACCACCAGAGTTTGATCCAGCACCAGGCTTCAGACGGTGATGACCGGCTCTCAGCCATGGCCCCAATCCGAGTGCCCCGTTGCCCAATTTTGCCAAATAGTAGACTACTGGTTGCTGCAGGCCACCATGATCTTGTGTTAGTCATGTAGCCACTCTTCTCATGAACATGCAAGATGGACATCTGGCCCGTGTCTGGAATTCCCAGGGCCGGAGCTTTGCACAGTGCATCTTTCAGCTCTTGGAAAGCCTTCAACTGAAGTTCATTCATCTCAACATGATCTTTGGAGTCTTTCCTGCCTTTCAGTAGATCATTGAGTGGTTGAACTATTTCGGTGCAGGAATCCACCCATGTCCTGTTATAATTGCATAGTCCCAGGAAGCAGCGCAGCCATGTCTTTAGCCCCCCCCCCCCTTTTTTTTTTTGGATGTGGGAGCTCTTTGGAGCATTTATCTACAGGCTGTATTGCGTCTGCTTGTCCCTTTGGGACATGTAGAGCTGTCCTTGTCCCCTCTCCAGGGATGAGTCAGTGATGTAGTACTCACAGCACTCATCTTTTTGCTTCTTTTTTCCATTGTGGCCTTTAATTCTTCCTCCAGTGTGAAGCGTTGTTCTTTCCGATCCTTCTTCCGACCTTCAGCAGGATGCAGCCGCTCTGCTGGCATAGGCGCTTGTGGAGGAGGGGGTGCAGGAGGGACAGGTGGAAGAGCAGTCACAGGCAGGGCTGGTGTTGGAGGAGGAGGAGGAGGAGGAATAGGTGGAGTCACCCATGTGGTTGCTCCACCCCCCAGGGGTCGCTCAGCGTTTCCTGCATTCGAAGCCATTTGCAGCTGATTCGTTAACAAAGCAATATGATTTTTGCTCATCTCGGCTCTGCAGTTCGCTAACTCCCTCTAAAGCATCTCTCTCCTCTTCTGCCCTCACTCGCAGCATCGGGACTCGCAGCATCGGCACTCACACGCACAGGTTGCTCTTCTGCCGGCGCCCGCTCTCTGTCAGACAGCTGTTTGTTCTTTTCATGGACATCAGTTAAAACAGCAACTTGCTCATGCAAACTCTTCTGTTCTAAGCCAGCATTAGTTTTTGCAATCACGTTTTTCCGACGGCAAATCTGACCCAGCACAAGAAGTGTCCACTGCAACTGTTTTTTCCCCCATCTCCGATGCGCTGTGCTTTTCCACATGCTCTTTGCATGTCATCCAAAGACCAAATGCCGCCGCTATCTGTATTGATGTACTTCTCACGGATGTCAGCAGCTGTCGACTTCAAGGCTGTGTCCAGATATTCACTGAGATTTTCCATCATTTACTCTGGAGGCTCCATTCCTCCCATCTCAGTGGTCGGCCTTGCAGAAACATTAATTCTACTATCAAATTTCCTAGATAAGGCCCTGTTTGATGGAACAGCTACAGATTATGAGCTGTAAACTCTGTTTTATCCCGAACAGTAAACGGCGAAAGCACAGTTTCATTCTCCTGTTTTTTCCCCAAACAGTAAACAGCTGTTTTTTATTTTCCCAAACAGTAAAACGGAAAACTCTTGCAAGAGAATGCTGTTTCTATCCTGTTACAGCAACGGAAAAGCTTCTTTATAGTTGACTGATCTTTTTTGAGCTCACGACAAATATCTCACAATTAGTTACGTTTACTTCATCAAACATCTTTCTGATTGGGTGTTTGAGCAGGAGAGAGGCTATTTTCAACCTTCAGCCAATGACAAGAGGAAGATCTTACCTCAGTTGATTTGCACGCTTAATTGTCTTCAGTCATCCAGCATTAATTAGTCTCTCGGCCTTGTCTCTCACCGATCCTGTTCATAACCCCAACTGATAGATTTCTTTAGTGAAACCTCAGATTCTTTTGGTTGAATGATGAGGCAGGTTCCTTAAGCTTAAGCAGTTTATTAAGACAGAATGAAGATGTTACGGGAAGGTGTCTCACACGGCCGGTTCTGCGTCTGTCTGCCCCCCCCTGAGGGCAGCAGGCCCTTTATCTGTGGTCTTCACACAGACTCCTGGAGCCGGAGGTTCAGACGGCCTTGGTGAGAGTAAGTCGTATGAGATATGCAAAGAACATGATGAGCGAGTAGGAAGGACAGAAAGAAATATAAAATAAGAAATATTAAAGCTATAAATGAATGAAGTAAATGAACATAATTAAATAACTACAAATTAACTAGGGAAATCCCTCACTTTATTTACTATACTTATATACTATACTATACTATACTATACTATACTTCAAGATGACCTCAGCCTCCTGCCCCTGCCACAGGCTGTGACTTGCCCATCAAGGACTGCAAGCCCAGCTCTCCAATCCCCTCCACTCTGCTGACCAGGTGAGGAAAGTGCTGGAAAGGCACAGACAGTCTGCGGGGCCTGATGGAATCTGCCCCAGGGTGCTGCAGACGTCAGCCAGCCAGCTCTGTGGGGTCCTGCAATACCTGACCTCCTACCCTCTGAGTCTGCAGAAGGTGCCACAGCTCAGGATGCTGCTCTTAGCAATCAATGTATTGTGATTGAGTCATGAACAATTGCTGATTATTGCTTGTTTATTAACAATTATTGATTGCCTGGTTACATCGTTCGCTGGTGTTTCCTTGTGCAAAACTTGTGACTAGCTATTTAAACATAAACCTACAGAATAAAAAAATTAAACATTATTCCTCTATTCCCACTACTTCTAACTCTTCTCATGCGCTTTTGCGTAAGTTAGCTCCGGTGCTTGTGGTGAACCAATCAGCAGAGTTTATCGCTATTCTTTAGTACTTTGGTGTGAAATACTTTTTTCATCAGCTCTACAAATGCCAAAATGTACCCCTAGTTATTGAATGACCCAATAGCAAATACTGTGCTGGAGGACAGGTTTTTAAAATGGTCAAACTTGCTCACTTTGACAAACATAAAATCATAGTTTTACACCAACATAAACATAAACATAAGCGAAACATTTTCTATGATGGCATGTGTACAATCACCACGTTTACAAGGTTTGGGGTGGAAAATCCCTGTGAATCTGAAAATTCCCGAATATTCAGCTTATTTGGGCCCATTATTAAAAATGCAAAATTAAAGGCACTGAAAAGTTTATAAGGTACCACAAGAAACACGAGAGCTGCGGCATACCCAAGCCAAGATGCATAAATAGCAGTCTTTTTTACCAAAAATACTTTTTAATATTAACAATATAGTATGCACGTACACTAACAAGTATTAAATAATACTGATATTTATAACATCACTGTCCAATGAAAAATACATATTTCTAAAAATCCATTATATGTGGAGTGTGAAACAACATATATTCTTATATAACATATAAGAACCTCTTTACAAAAATATTCAACACAACATAATGAGACACCCTTAGATACTTAAGTCAAACATATTTCTATCATCTTTCCTCAGCTAGTACCCCACCTCCTTCAGACAAGAAAAGGGCCCAGTCTTCTGGCTGCCTTCTTGGTTGAAAAGGTTATGTCTGGGATTGCACGCCTAACCGGCCGTTGACAATGCCCATTGTTACCACCAGGTGCCACCATGGCTATTTTTTTCCTGTAGTCCAGGGTTATTCAACTCACGGTCCTCGAGGTCCGAGCACTGCTGGTTTTCCAGCCTTCCTTTACCTG